CCTCTTGGTCTTCTTGGCCTTAGTGTTATTCCATCAGGATTTAACCAGCTCTGATACCAATTTGATATCAGTGGGACATAATAACTTTAAAATAACTCACGCACAACGAAAGGAACATAGGAGGAAAAACAGAATTCTTCACTTAATATATTTCATTTCCTAACATGATAATAAAACAATACAACATATGGCCTTTATATAGGCTTTACAAACTAATATAATATTATATTTAGGAAACTCATTTGCGAAGGTACGAGAAAGTTGGTATGCAAATTGGCTTTGTCCATAATTAATGGTGTCAACTTTGCTACTGCAATTTCAATTTCGAATTTCAGGTGCGGCAGTACGGCTTTGTAGGCGCCTACAATCTTGATTTAATCAATTCTGACATTAATGGATACCTTATTAAAACTACACGTTCCATGTATAATCATTTTACTACCCAGAACAATGTGGATTTTTACACTTCTTTTTTATTATAGCACACATAAGACTCTTTTAAGTTCAATCAAATGGAGACCTGTTGGAGGCATCCTAATCCTTATTAATACATAAATATAAACTTGAAATCATGATCAAACCGCCTTGTAACATTTGGTAGATAGGAGGGGATAAGCATCCAACAATACGATAAGATGAGTATTAAGTTTCTTTTAGAGGTTAACATACCTTTAAGGCATGAAAACCCTCCACCAACCACTTTGGTGGACATAAGGCTGTTACATAGTAGCCAGAACCTATAATAACCTTCCACGGTTCCACCAACGTAGCTTGGTGGGCATCCCATACTCCTCATTAACGACTCCAGATAATTAATTAGTCCAACAATGTTGCTTGGCAGCAAAAGTGTTCAAGTTAATAAGAAAGCAGATAAGATGGATCCTTGAAAATGAATTCAAAAAAAATATCACTGCAATTGTATAATAGTTTTAAATAGAAAGATCTTTAGTACCAAAATAATAAAGAAAAGAAAGACCTTTCCAACTAAGTTTATTAATAAGCTCCCATAAGAAGTCCATAGGGTCATCAAGGGATCATTCGTTATAGTGCATGTTTAGATAAAAGTTGAATATAATTCAACTTGGTTTTACTTCAAAGTAATATCCTTGTTTTTGTATTTCATGCATTGAGAAGTAAAACACACATTCCAATATTTTGAAACAAATAACCAAACACACTCATATTGTTAGTTCACACACACTTCACAAGAAAGGGAATATGACAAAGGGAATAACTCACTTTTCTTCCAAGACTTGCATGAATTAAATCACTGATCCAGAAACCAATTAACGGATTAATGTGACTAAAAAATACAAACCCTCAGATAAATTTGTGAAGAAAAAGAAACGCATGAATAAAAAGGAAAAATCAAAGCAAAAGTGCAAGGGTTCTTCGTGTCCCTCTGATATCACCAAATGCTCACTGGAAAATAATCTACAACCATAGCACCTTTCTTCCTGCTATCTCTCAGTCTTGGTGTTGGGTTGCTACCCACATCATTTCTTTCATTTCTATTCATCTGTCCTCTCTGCATGTTTCCTCCCCTTTCCTATGCCTCCACGTGCCCCTAACAAGTCATGTAAGTGTTGTCCCACCGTAAAACTGGATCGAATCATGTCCTGGAGAGACAGACAGACAGCACTTGGTGCTACAATTTCTTCCTCCCCGAAATATGTGATTAACACTCCTCTAAGGACTACAGGCTCTTGCATTCTTAGAATTACTACTACAAATCATCATTACCGAGTAAACATGATATTGCATTAAACATATCAGTATTGTGAGCTTAACAAGGTCCATGATTGGTAATATCATGATTCGTAATTATCACAATTGAAGATAAAATATGAAAGAATTACATGCCACAATGTTCCCTGAGCTATTGGATGATGATTCCATCATGTTCCAATTTAAAATACAACTGCACCTGATCTGATTCCCGTCCTAGCAAAGCCAACTTAAGTATCACACTTGTACATCTTTAGTAAGGTTGAAAAACAATCATGAAAGCAAGCAAATTTACAACAAAGAAAAAGGCTGTAAAAATTATAGTACTAAATTACTAAGAACTAGCAAGGGCTGATTGCAATACATCTTCAAGATACTTCTCAGCATCAGCATATTGCCTTTTCTTATCCTCAATTGCTAAGGCAGCCAAAGCTTTATCCTGGACAATTCCAACCAACAAAAAATATAAGAATAAACACAACATAGTTTTACAACAGTCAAGAAATATAACAGAATGCAAGCAAAACATGAAATACCGGAGGCAAATCTTGGTAACTCCTTAGAGTATCAAGGATGGGCTTAGTTTTCTTCTCCAGCTCCTTTCTATGCTCTGCCATTTCAACTAAAACCCTATGGCTAACCTCTGGGGTATAACCTGCACGATTCAGCACCGCCTGCACCAAATGTTATTCAGCATGTAAAAGATCAGAATTCATAAGTGTAAGAAAACATGATAGAATAACATACAGAGTAGAGTATAACAATCCAATGTTATTTATTAATGGTAGCAGGGGTGGGCCAAAAATTCACCATAAATATCCTAGACTGCAGAGTACAACTAACAAATAATAACTTATATCAAGAACAAACTATAAACATTGCAAGAAATAAAATTCATCAGAAGTACACAAATCACAAACTTGAGGGACAATATCATACCCATCATAGTGTAAAAGAGATTTAGTGGATAAGGAATGATTCCATTTTTCCTCAATGACTAAAGTTTTCCACTACATTTTCTGGTTGTTCTCAATCCCATTCCTTTTCTTTATCTAGATATATCTCTTGCACACTAAAGATAAATCCAACATCCAATACCCAATATCATATACATTACCAACATATCTCACCTCAAAGAACTAACTACTGGAGCATCCATACCTCCCCAACACAAGATAAAAAAGACGCCATACCTTGTAGTTGGCACATTGTTGCAAGTACTGGTTCTCTTTTAACGCCATTACTTTCAAGTTCGTTTTTCAACTTTCCATCTGAGCCTCACATGGAGCTACCTCGTCTTCTAACTGGGCAAGTGTTCTGCATAAAAATTGCTTCAAGTAAATTTAGCAAAAAAAAAAGGAGAGCGCATTATGCCAAGAAGTTTTAATATACTATCTAGGGTGACATCATGTAATGTGGCCACAACAACCAATCAGATCATTACTGCAAACAGCATCAGCCACACAGCAACAGAAATTTGCAAGGCTACGGCAATCTAGAACACACAATGAATACATAAAAGCACTCAATTCCCTAGTTTTAAATTGCAGTATGAAGCACTCAATTCCCTAGTTTTAAATTGCAGTATGCAATTTGCAGTTTTGAACTTTGGAGGATTCTACAACAACAACGCTCCTACTATTTACCAACAATGTTCTGGAATTTTGACAATTGCAATTTAAAAACATGTTCAACTCATTTGAAATTTTACCTTTTTAAATATGTTAGCCTGGCTATGGCCTTTCTGGTGTAATCAAGTAGACGCTTGGATTCCTTGTTCACTTCAGCCCTTTTTTCCTCCACTCCAGTCTTCCTCAGGGAAATATCACCCATTGCTACGAGAAAGCTAAAACACAGATTCCAGGGTGAGTTCAAGATTCAAAATTCAAATTTTGATACAGAAACAAAAAACAAACCAAACCAACAATGGTGAAAGCAAAAAAAAAAAAAAAAAATTTAAATATGTTAGCCTGGCTATGGCCTTTCTGGTGTAATCAAGTAGACGCTTGGATTCCTTGTTCACTTCAGCCCTTTTTTCCTCCACTCCAGTCTTCCTCAGGGAAATATCACCCATTGCTACGAGAAAGCTAAAACACAGATTCCAGGGTGAGTTCAAGATTCAAAATTCAAATTTTGATACAGAAACAAAAAACAAACCAAACCAACAATGGTGAAAAAAAAAAAAAAAAAAAAAAAACCCACCTACTCATTTCAGTATCTCTTATATTCAACAAGTTAGCCACATTGGCAAGAACTTGTGCTGATGCAACCACATTGGAGGGCAAGCTCTCCTGCGCCAATCCCACATTCTCCAAAATCTCCCTAATCCTTGCAGCTGCAACATCAAATCATCATCAGCATCAAAGATTTTAAAAATCAACTACCCCTAAATGTTGCCACGGTTGAACGCTATAATTTTTAATTAGGATGATACATCTAACGATTAAACACCCAAATTAGTCCCTACATTTGAAATCTTTGAAATGCACCATAATAGTCCAAAACCCAAGTTAAATTAAAGCACTTATTTCACACTCTAGTGACTTATTTCACAATTTCTTACTTTTCAGGCCCAATTCGACAGCATCATCCAATTTCATGGACCAAAATAGGCATTTACACTGTAACTTATGTTCCGTAAGCGTCTGGATAATTCTAATTGGACTTTACGAAATTACAACGTCGAGACAAGAGACCGAAACGGCGTCGTTAGGGCGAGAGGGGAAGAAGAAGAAGAAGAAGAAGCCTAACCTTGGGATCGGTACTCGGAGGCCTTGATGCGAAAATCGCGAGCGACGAGGCGCGCGGCCTCGTCCTTGGCTTTGGAGAGAGTGATGAGATGGTGCAAATGCGAGACGCTGCGCGGCGTGTACTCGAACTCCGGAACGCTTTTTCCGGCGGCTTCGAAGGTCTTCGCCAGCCACTCCTTCACCTCCGACATAGCCTCTTTCTCGCCCATTATTGCCTCCACAGTCTCGCGATGAGGAGGAGAACTGGAGAAGAGTGGTTTCTACTTTCGTCGTTTGTGACGGACGGATTCCGCTGCAATTTGCGGATTGATAGATTAGATATACGCCGCTGAGTCGTTTGAAAAGCCCTACGACGCCGTTTTCGTTAAGGTTTTTCTTTTTGACTTTTTTTAATGTTTGTCATGTCAACACTTGTTAGAAAAACATTAGGTTTCATCCGCACGCATGTTTTTTTTTTTTTTTAAGACAATTATACTTTTATTTTAAATTCTAGTTTTTAATCTATTAATGCATATCTTGAGAATGAAATGGGTAAGGATATGTATAAATAAAATAAAATAAAATTGTTCATCTATTTAATATTAATTCCTTTTTTTTTTTATAAAAGTGAAATGTCTTTTTTTCTTACTAGTTCACAATAGTGAAAATGAGAGAAGAAGTATCTGGTACTTATTTTGAGAAAAGGGAAGTTGTTTAAGTTGTGTTAAAATAATTGTTAATGAGAAACTTTATGTGAAAATGAGAAATAAAATTATAAAGTTGTAAAAAAAGTAAGTGAGATAAAAATAAATAATTAATGTAGGAGTAATACGGTCTTAATAATATGGAGACCAAAAGTAATTATGAATAAATTTATACTCTTTATCTATTGATATGGATAATAGAATTAAGAGGAGTTAATTTTATTTTATTTTTTGGATAAGGAGTATAACTCATTTTTACTATGTCGATCTTTATATAAATAAAGAGATATATCTAGTGACGTTTTCATTCTCAAAGTGGGGATAGAAAAGGAGTTGATTTGAATTTTGTTATTAAGAACATCTACAATCTAGGATATCACTTAAAGTACTTTAATAGATCTCACTTATACACATAATGTATTTTTACCATTTTTTATTTTAAAATTCCATAAGTATTCAATCCCTCCAACCCAACATCTCCTCACAAATAACCTTATACCCTTATATTTCATCCGTTATTTATTTATTAATTCATTTAAGTGACGTTTATATTATTTAGAGTTATTTCTTTTTATTATACTAGGATCCACATTTTTAGTTAGGTATTGGTACTTATATAAGTAACCAAACCTAATTTGAACATTTATCCAACGATAATTTTTGGATAATAATTAGTCCTTAAAAAAAAAACTCTTTATGCAACACCAATGTTATTAATCTAAGCAACTTAATATGACTTTGATGAGATTGAGTGTTCAGATTAGTTGCTTGAAATATTAAATATTTTAAAATAAAGACATAAAAACATAAAAAAAATGAAATACATAATTTTTAAATTATAATATATGTCTATTAATGAGTTGTTGGTCAGAGTAATACTGAATTTAGTTTTCTTAAATAAGATTTCAAGTTTGAGTCTTGTATACAAAAAATATAGTTAGGAGAAAAGACTTTAGTCATCAGTTACACCTTCTACCAATAACATGGTTACCTAAAAAAATTAATGTCATGTTTTTACAAAAATTATAATGCATATTATAAATGACAAATCATGATAAAAAATACATGTCTCAAAAGGCCACAATAATGTCTCAAACAATATTAGCAATTATTTGAATTACATAATAAAAATAAAAAATTAAAACTCATGAGATTAGTTGTGGGCATTCCACACATAAAGTAAGTTAGTAAAGACAACATTAATCGGTGTATCTCATGTTTCATAGATCCATTAGATTTTTTTTTATCATCATCAAGTTGGGTCAGATCAAGTTGATCACATTAGAATCTTATTAATTTATCATTAGGAGTGAAAATAGGTTAGGTCACTCAATATAACTTATGGCATGGCCTACATCAAGTTTATACTAGACTTTTTTTGTTTTTAAGAAAATGGACTAGGTCAAGACTTTTATTAAAGCCTATTTAGTTAAAAAAAATAAAAAAGACCAAACTATAGACTATTTTTTTAAAAAAAAATTAGGCCTAATAAATCGACCAATTCAAAAATAAATAAATAAATAAATATTTATTCTTATATCAAATTTGTATAATATATGGAAATCATACATTTAAAAAAAAAACATTAAGCATGTTGACTTATATAAAAAGTGAAGTTTATAAGCTTTTTAAAAATAAATGTATATCCTATTTAGATATTTATTACAAAATATTTTTTCAAATAAGTTATCATCATGAGTGTCATATTAAACTATTAAAACATGCCAGTAGATTGATACAAATGGTTCAGGCTTACTTTTTCCATGAGGTGGATTCAACATCTTGCAACCATTAAAAATTTATTTTGGTAGACATATACTTACTCAAGGATATCCCTTGGTGCTAGAAGTGAAAATTCTCTAGTGGACCTTTGCTAACCATCATGCCACTAGCTCCTTGTCGATAGTCATGTAGTGTCATCTCATATCTATCATTTTAATAATAAAAAAATACTATAAAACATGTTTATATCATATGAACAAGATAAAATTTAGCATATTTATTTTCGCTTGTATATTAATGTTAAATTATTACAAAATAAACCTTAAATAGGCTTGAGTATAGCTTTCATAGCTAGAACTATAATTTTGAATTAGGTTTATGACATTTAAACAATAAAGTTCAAGCTAGTCAAGGTTAAAGTTTAGGCCTAACAAAAGCTAGTTTGACATAGTCTATTTTCACTCATACCTATTTCTTAATCCTATTGTAATTGGGTCAATAAAAAATTCAATCAAACCTAGTGATTCAATCAAACCCATTCAAATATAGTTGACTTGGGTTGAATTGACTTCCCAAGTTGATATTGATCCGCATACAACTCTATGAATGCTGATATTTTTAGACTTATAAAAAGTAATTTTAAAAAAGTGATTATTATCAATATTTAATAATTGTCACTCCTTCATTTATGACATGACTTCTTTCTTGCTCATTTTTGCCTAAAGTGAAAATCTCAATGCAAATTAAGATCAAACGAAATGAATCAAGTTTAATGAATAAGCAGAATACAAGAACTCACTTATTTTATTATATAACTATGATGATACTCCTCATATTTTATTATTAAGGGATGTTTATATCAAATTATCAACTTTTATTTATGAAAATAACAACCTTAGAAATATAATGATGAGAATGATACTTTTGGGTATTTTACAAAAATACATTTGGTTGATGACAAATTAACAATAATGATTTTCCTAAAGTGAGTGTGAAAAGAAGTTAAACATTTAATAGAAAAAATAATTATCACTTCATAGAAACCAACTTATTTATTTTCTTCCCTAAAAATAAAAACACGAGAATATACAATTTATTTCATTCATTAAAATGTTTTATGTCGATGGATAATTTATTTTATTTGAGTTAGGAAGAAAGCAAATAAAGTTATATTTTCTTGCAAATCTCGAAATTCTTAAATGTCACGAGTTATTTATTTGGAATTATGCTTCTCTTTCCTTGAATCTCTTTTGGTGAAGGATAAACTCAGGGTCAATTGTTAGTTTATTTTTCCATAAAAAGAAACCAAAAAAATTCCCTATTCATTATTTTCATAAATATTATTAAATATAAATATATTTTGCTTTATCTAAAAAAAAACAAAAAAATAGGAGATAAAATGAAAGCATAGTTGAAAGAGAAGGGATATTTTTGGAATATAAAAAAAGGTGCGAAGAAAATGAAAAAGGGGAATGCTCAATAAAAAGGGCTTTTGGATAACTGGATCGCTACATTTCTCTCTCGTGTGTATTGCTGTCGAGTATCTATCGATCATCAGAAACCCTAAGTATCAGTAATCGTTCCTTTTCGTCGATCCATCAATTCGGTGAAACAGGAATTCCCAAATTTCCTTGCTCTTTCTCAAATTGGCCTCTTCACTCCACCATGGTCTGTTTCCTTCGATCACTAACACTTCTCTCTCTCTGTTTTCACCAACTTATCACTTCATTTATGTCAAGCCTTCAACTTCACACTCACCCTATCAATGAAGTCTCTTACACTGGGTTTTTAATTATTGCTGTTGTTAATGTTGAAGGCGCATGCATTATCATCGTACCCCACATTTTTAGATTCGGGTTTCTTCAGTTTCTTGGTTTTCAGCACTGTTCATTCGTTTAATTTTTTTATTTATTTTTATTATTATTATTATTATTACTATTATTAACGGTTAATACTGTTGCTCAATAATTGTTATTATTCTTGAGAGAAGAAGGGAAATCTAATTATCTAAACAGACGAGTGTGGGGAGTGTTAAGAGAGAGGGGAGGCTGAGTAGAAGTGGGGGAGTGTGCAGTTACAACAGATAAGGGTAAAATAGGGAAAATGTGCAAACCAAAAGATTGTATTACACTATCACATTTATTATTGTTATAAATAAATTATTGATATTAGTTGTAGGTTTTAATTATTATTCTGAAGTCATTTTGTTGCATTTAATCTTGAGTGGAGCTGAGTGGAACACCTTTAGTGTTTTGTATTTGATTTTTGATTTGGTAAGCGGCAAGATTAATTAAATGGGTTTTTGTTTTTGTGTGTGTGTGTGGATACAAGTTTTTGGTTTGGTTGTGTTAGTTTTGTGAGAGAGATAAAGAGAATGGTGGATAATTAAATGTGTTTTATTGTTTGTGTTGTGTTTGGCAATAGTCGGGTCGAGGAGGAGGAAGGGGTCGGTTTAGGAGGGACTACCCTTCAAGGTATGAAGACAATAAGGGGAATGGGGTTAGTGGACGTGATAACCGCAGCAGCACCAGCAACAGCAACAACCCTCCTTCCAGGCATCTCTGGGTTGGGAATCTATCCCACAACATTGTTGAGGAAGAACTTGCCCACCATTTCTTGCGGCTTGGACCGCTGGAGAATGTGGCATTCCAGCCTGGCCGCAGCTACGCTTTCATAAATTTTAGAAGGGATGAAGATGCTATTGATGCCATGAGAGCACTGCAAGGTTTTCCTCTTGCTGGCAACCCACTTAGAATCGAGTTTGCAAAGGCGGTCAGTGTTGCCCACCTTTTACTGTTTGTTACTTTTCCAGCTGATTATATGAATCTACCAAAGAAGTTCAGTTTAGTTCAATTGAATTTATTTAATCAAGGCCACGGCCTAGAAAT